AAAGAGCATCGTCTTCTAGAGTCATCATCGTCTTCTAATTTTTTATTAAATACAATTAATTAATTATAAATTTTTTAAAATTACAGATTAATATACTTTAAATACAATTGACAATGAAAGGACTTGAATTGTGTTATTATTAAAATGCATGAATTAAATATATTACCTGACTTACTAATTTAAAAATAACATAAGTCAATCATTAAAAAGTTTTTGATCTTGTTACTAATTAAGCTGATGAAGCAAAGTTTTTGATCTTATTACTGATTAAGTAGATATTAACAGATTATAAAAATTTAGAATACCTCAGCGTAGTCAAAAATATAAATAGAAAGCATGCTAAATCTTATTTATAATAAAACTTTGTGTAAACGCACATGAATGAGTAACAGCATTAAGTTAAGCAATAATATAAAGCGAATAATAATATAGTAAAATCTATTATGTAATTTTCAAAAATAATAAATTTGGTTTGAAAAAGTCAAAAAATTGTTTTATGCATATAGATATCTAATTCTGCATTTGTTTTGTTGTCGCTAAAGCAGTCTGGTACTGCTTGCTTTGCACATGTGCATGCAGAAGTTTTTGCATGTTTCTGCAAGTGTCTATTTGTAAGTCAACATTGAAGACTTCACTGCACATTTAGGATCTGGTTACATGTACCTTATAAAATTGTCAACCAGGTATTTTATATATAATAAAAGCTCTCCTAAATTTGCAAGCCTTTTTTGTTTTAAGAGAGTTTAAAATAAATAGAATTTTATATTTTAAACTCATATATATTTGTTTTTAGTTTTTCGCGCAAGGTATCTGTTTATTCATAAAAAAATTGCTTATTAGATTCAAAATTTGATTTAATACTTACTAAAAGCATATAAAGATATGCGGTAGTGGTGTAGTGGTAGAGCGCTCGCTTCATAAACGAGTGGTTCCGAGTTCGATCACCACCACGTCCCTGGTAGTACCGCGCTCAACTCGTTTCTCCGCGCAGCGGCCTTGTTCGTCAAGGTTCGTGTTTCGGAGTTATAGAGTTGAGAGAGGGTTATAGCCACAAAATAAGTAGCCTCCTCGTCTGTAGTGGCCTTCTTGGCCTTGAGGAGGTGAAGTAAAATTTAAAAAAAAAAAAAAAAGATATAATACTTACTAAAAGCATATAAAGCATATACTTACTAAAAGCTTGTAAAGAGCAAGAAGCCATGGCTTGTCAAAACAAAATATTATATGCGTGGTCATATAAGGTGTGTGACTGCATGTGTCTTCTGAGAAAGCTTGATTCATAACAAGCGTTGTTTACTCTGTCCTAAAAAAAGAGATAGTAAGCTTTGACTAAAACTACCAACTTAGTTTTTCTTGGTATGCATTTATTATTTTTTTTAACTCAAAATAATTATCCCAAACGATTTTTTAAAATAATTCTTTTTAATACTTAGTGTAGTTAAAGCAATTTTAAAATATTACAGAGTCTATATGATATTTTGCTTACCACAATATATTTCCATTAAATTATCAGGTCTCTGAATTATAACAAGATAAAAAAATTAAAATAATAGACATTTTTAAATTTTGCAGTAACATAAAATAAAAATGTTTGTGGCAAAAAAAAAATCTCTAAAAATCACAATTTAATGTCCAGATTTAAAAAGGATTTTAAATAAATACGTTGTTTAATTGAAATGAACATCATTGTTTAATATTATGATCTGTTAAGATCATTTATCCTAATTATTAGCTTTTCCTTGGTTTCTTAAATTTTTGGTAAAATAGTTTATGTTTTCATTTTAATAAAATTATTAGTTATAATTAGAATAAAATAGTTTATGTTTTCATTTTAATAAAATTATTAGTTATAATTAGAATAAAATAGTTTATGTTTTCATTTTAATAAAATTATTAGTTGTAATTAGAATAAAATAGTTTGTTTTCATTTTAATAAAATTATTAGTTGTAATTAGAATAAAATTTTTTAGAATTAAAGTTTTTACAAAACACATTTTATATTTTATGTAATGCATTTACTCAACTCATTTACTCAGATGACAATATTAACTTAATGCTTTATCTGCTAAACAGTATGTTATCAGGCGTATCCAGCCGATTTTGATACCGGTATACTGGTAGGGCCCTCAAATTTCAGCCCAAACTCAATTTAAAACAATTTTATATTAGCACATAAAAAATTAATATAAAGTAATTCTTTATTACTTATTGTCATGCTATTTTGTGATAAAATTTTGTATGATAATTATGATTATAATTATGATGATAAAATTTGTTATGTTATTAATGTTGCTTAGAAAAACCAATATTTGAAAAATGACTTTTAAAACACATTATAAATGTATTTTGTAATCTAAGTCAAATAAATGTAAGTCAATCAGAATGCTTAATTAGAATTTACATTGATTTTATATGGAGTATGTTACAATGTTTAAAATGTTAAATGCACGTTTTGATTAGATTAAAATATGAAACGCTTTGCGTTTTTAAATAAGAACCACATTTTGAAAATACTTTATGAGTAGGGTTGCTAAAATTACAGAAATTTTCAAAAAAAGATAAGTTATCTTATAACTAATGGGTAAAACTTTGTCTTAGTTAGGCAGTTGTTATGGACAATTTTATGGTAAAATATTGTGAAGCAGCAGCCGTATTCTCATCTCTCCATTAAGCTTAACAGAGCTTTTGTCTGCAATTTTATTACAATATATCTAAGTAAAGAAATGACGAAAGTCTTATTTAAATTTTTTAAAATAAAACTTATACTAAAATAAAACATTTATTTTTAAAATTTTATATTTTTAAAGAACTTTTTTATTAATATAGTTTAAAAGAAATTTTTTACTAACGTTCCGTTAAACTTAATGGAGAGATGAGAATACGGCCCCAGATCATACAAATTTTAGAAAGCCTCTTTTGAAAAACATTTTTTTTTTTTTTAGTTTTTTTATTATAACTATAAGTAGCAACTATGATCATTTGTTTTCAAAATTTTCTAAAACTGTTTTATCTTGTTATTTGCTATGCATATTGATGCTCATCGTCATATTTGTTAATATCTATTAAATTGACCGACAAATTACCGAAAACTGTAAAATTATATATAAAAAGATTTGATATAAACATTTGCAGTATTTAACAATTTTTTCTTGATTTGAAGATGTTATTGGTTAATGGGGGGCAAAAAGTAAGGAAAAATTTTTTGGTAAATTTAAACTATTTAAAAATAAAGTTAGCAATAAAAATAAAGAACTAATGGTTTTGAGGTCATAAGTCCACCCCTATGTTTAAATAAGGTCATAGCGCAGTGGTTACTGCGCTTGCCTCAGAAGCTAGAAATCCATTTTTCAATGCCACCTCTGGGCATGTTTTACAAAATCAGTAAGAAAGGGGCATAAACTTCCTTTCAAATATGCTTCTGCAGTGTTCAGTGATAAGACCGTAAAGACATCTTGGAGCACTAAAAATAAAAAAGTTAAAAAAGTCTCATTTGCCACAACGTTGCTAGAAGACTTATGACTTTGTAAATAAATATATTTAATATATAATGGGGGAGGGGGGGGGAATTTCATAAAAAGTAAGTAAAAGATTCTTAAAAGCTAAAATTTACCAGACCGAGTTGTTTTAAATACCCAACTAGCCAACTAAGTTCTTTAAAAATCCGACTATAATTAAAAATCACCTTCTTTGATGGGGTAAAACATCCCTATCCCTACACACCCTCCCCTTAAAATTGTTTTTGTATGCAATATGTACGCATAAAATATCTTTGTTTCTTTAAAACACTCTGCAAAAATAATACGCAACAAAATTTATTAATCTAAAAAAGACTTCATTCTTTCTATTTTTTATGAGTTAAAGTTAAAGTAAGAGCTAGTAATATGTTATACACAAGCTTAAAAGACAAGCTAACGCAGAAAACATCTACTTTTAATGTTTTACAAAAGTAATGTAAGTAAAAGTAAAGTATAACAACTTATAAGTTTTATTGTTTTTAAAAAAAAATGCGCGATTCTTAAATTGACAATAAAAATTTGACTAAAAGATGTGTATTTTTTGTTTGTGGGTCTTTATTGTTTTACATTTTGTGTTGAAATATTTAAAGAATACCTAAATACTGCAATAAAACACTTATTTTTGAAACAAAGAAATGAATTTTATAAAACTATCTAACAACTTTAAAGTTAATTTTATAACAACTTTAAACTTTTTCATTTCAAATAACAGTAAAATTGCATGAAAAATTCTTTAAATAATAAAATAAATAAATTTATTTATTTTATTATTTAAAAATATTTTAAATAATAAAATAAATAAATTTATTTATTTTATTGTTTTATTATTTAAAAATATTTCAAATAATAAAATAAATAAATTTATTTATTTTATTATTTAAAAATATTTTAAATAATAAAATAAAAAAAGTTTTTAAAATATATTTTTAAATATTATAATAATCATGTCAAAAAACTTGATTTGAAAAGTAAGAGAAGAACAAGAAAAAAAAGATACTAGTTTTTGAATGATTTGATTAAAATTTTAAATAAATTGACTGTGTTATGCCATAAATACGCCATGTAATAAATCTTTATAACTCTATTTAAAAGAAACAAATAATGTTTATTAAATGTTATAGTTATCTCTTGCTTATGAAATAATAGTCTTTATTTTAGTAAGCGAATAAAGCATGTAAATGAAAATTAGCATCAAATCGATGTTGGCGTTGAAGCCGTAGTTTTAAATAAATAATAAATGTAACATTTTAAATGTAATATTTTGGTTACTTACCTACATTTTTATTAGGAAAAACGTAAAATACTAGGGCGAGTTATATTATATTTAAATAATTATATTTTGAAGAGCCTCTTAAGGCAGGATTTTTAAACCTTTATGCCCAAAAAATTTCTGGACATGTCATTGTCAGAGTTAAGCAAAGTTTTATTTTATGATTAAATTGATATACTTATAATAATTTATTTTTATTTAAATAATTATAACTTTAGAATATTGAGTTTTACTTTCCTGATTGTGAAAAACTTCCTCCGCCTGTCTTAGCTATTGAGCATGTTAGTTTTAGATACAGCGAGACAAAGGTAATTTTTTTAATTTTAATAGTTGTTTATTAAATCTAAAACTTTTTATTGGAAATGTATTATGCTATACATTAATTTTTTCATCAGCCATTTATATATAAAGATCTTGACTTTGGTATGGATTTGGACACACGAGTTGCATTAGTTGGACCTAATGGTGCTGGAAAAAGTACTCTTCTAAAACTTTTAGTCGGTGAGCTTGCACCAACCAGTGGAAGAATACGAAAACATCAACATCTTAAGTTTGGAAGATTTCATCAGGTTTTTTTTGCTTATCACATTATTTACATCACATTAAAACAATTAGTTTTATGGCTTTTATTTTCATAAGTGTCATTTTCAATGTTTAGCATTATTTATAAAAACTAATGAAAAATAATTTAAGGTATTAAATAATAAAAATTATTTGTTAATTTATTTAGTTTTATCGTAATTTTTTTATATTGCAATAGTTTAGTATATTTTGTAACTGTAAAGGTTCTTAAGCTATTACCCAGTTATGCTCTGAACAGTGCTCAATTTAAGGGTCAGACATCAGGCATAGTCTGGCTAAAACCTCAAATTGTCCGATCAATTTAAAAAGTAATCAGACATTTTGACAGACAGGAATTGAGTTCTGTATAATAAACACTTTATTATTGAAATAACTAGAGAATAAACAAAACCTTACGAGAAAGAAAATAAATTAAAATAAAATTCAATAAAATCAAAGTGAAAATTACTTATTGTTATTTTTATAACTGCTTTTGAGAAAAATTACTTAAAACTTATCTTTTGAAATGTTTTATTAAGGTTTCGCAAAATCTTTTCTAAATTACTTCTCTTGATTGTTTAATAAATAGACAAATTTAAGTAAATTATTGAAAAGTAAAATTAAATCATTGAAAAGAAAAAATATATAATATCTTTAAGTTGTATAAACATTTTTTTCAAAATGTTGCACATATATATATATATATATATATATATATATATATATATATATATATATATATATATATATATATATATATATATATATATATATATATATATAAATCTAAGATGAAATATTTTAAATTATAAGGAAAGTAACTTCACTAGACTAACATTAAATAAACTGAATAATATGACACAGTTTTCAATTGGATAACTCGGTTCCTTTAAACCGTAAAAATTTGATCGGACACTGTCCCACCTAAACAGGTTTTGATTGGACATTTAGTCCAGGACTTTATTAAAAATTTAATTGAGCCCTGGCTCTGAACAATAAAAAACAATTATTTAAAAAAATTAACTTTCTGTTGTATAAATACTTTGGAGAAAAATTGATTTAAAAAAAATAAAAATAAAATTTTATTTTTTTATGAATAAACTTATTTAGCATTTGCACGATATATTAATCATGGATATGTCAGCCTTGGATTGGATGATGAAAACTTTTCCTGAAGAAAAAGAAATTGAACCAATGCGTAGATTTCTAGGAAGATATGGACTTACAGGAAAGCAACAGGTTTTTATTTTTTAGTTTTTTTTTTATATAGTGATATGGTGTATGATATAAGTAAATGTAGAAAATATGATTATATATAAAAAATAAAATATATTTAAAAAATCAAGTTTTAGAGAATGAGAACTAGTCAAACTGAGTATGTATTGGCTGTCTATAGCTCTCTCTCCCCCTAGTACACTTTCTTATGTTTTTTGGTAAAACCAAAACATTCGAAAGTGTACTAGGTTGTACTCTCCCTCAAACCTTCATAGTGCACTCTCCCCCAAACCTGCATACGTACTTTTTGGAAGAAATTACATATGCAGGTTTTGGGGAGGGGGAGTTTTTCTCCAACTGTTTACATGGAGCCATAGTTTTTTTTAAAAAAGAATTTCAACCTTTTAAAAGTTTATTAATCTTAAAAATCTATTATTTATATTATATCTATTATATATTATTTATATTATATCTATTATATATTATTTATATCTATTATATATTGTTTATATTATATCTATTTTATATTATTTAAATTATATCTATTTTATATTATATCTATTATATTTATTTAATTTTAATCTTATATCTATAATCTATATTAAATTTATATAATCTTTAAAAATCTAATAGTCTAAAAGAAAATATTGCTTGATATATATTTTATTATAAATAGTTAAATTTTTATTTTTGTTGGATTTTTGTTTTTCCATTTTGTGTGTAACTACTTATAACTTACTTTTACTTGACAATGAGTGGTTAGTACTTTTATCTCTTGCTGATCCTGTCACTACTGCTCCTAATTCTTCTTCTATTAGTTCTGCATCTTTTTACTTAGGCAATCTTGAGTTTGCAATTATGTTTTATAAAGGTCTTATACTATTTAAAAATTGTTTTTTAAAACCAAACTTTCATAGTTTCATATTTTCTTTAACTTTCTCC